ATGTTCGCTGCAGATGATATGTTAACTAATCTCAGATAGGTGATCAAAATGTTACACTTAATATTTAAAAAATCAAAATCTCCAGCACACACAGTAAATGATTAAATATGATGAAGCATAATATAATAAAACAATATGATGGTTATTAGTGTATCTATGGATACTGCGTATTATGTGCATAAATATGTATTAAAATACATAAACAATAAAAATATTCTATTACTTTGCAAATTTAGTGAGTATATAAGTAAGCAAGCATTTGCATGTTTATCTCTAAAGCATATTTAACTTTCAATTAAAATCCAAACTAAACACATAACACACAATTATAAGCCATAATATTGTTGATACTACTTATACTTGTATGGACACCACATATTATAAATACACATGTAATGCGAATATGTACCTTCGAATATATAGATGCGGGTAATTTTTTCGCGTCCTAATTATTGAAAAACGCAACTCATGTTACCTCAACTTTTGATTGTGAGAACAGTTTTTATACCCGCTTCCTAAGCCGGGAGCATATTTATTCCGTCAAATGTTAGCAACATCCAAGGAAGGAAACTTCTCAGATATGTTATAAGGGTATGTATATTGTATCACATTTTAAATCAATCTAAGTCTGTTTAGCTGCCTGGCTGTAAAAATTAAAACGTCGACTTCTGCTGTGTGGGTCAAATAGGAGAAAAGTTATATACAACAAAAGTGTACACTTGGGATTCTTTGGTCATTACCCATAATGATGTAATTTTCCATTTATATCCCACAAATATGGAAAATATCAATTACGTCCACTTAACATTGTAAAAGTTCCGTCCGGTAGGTATAAAAAATTCGTTCACTGTCGAATAAAATTTTCTTACTTATTCAAACTCAATCTGACTATTTGCTATAACTTCGCTGTATATCTGTGGTGGATTAGCAAAAAGGTTTTCGCTGACCTTTTAATTAATAATACGACCAGAGATGACTTGTAAAAGGAACAAAAAAAAAAAAAAATATGTGTTAAGGTATGAACGAACACAATATTGACTTTGTTTGTACAAAAGCAACAACATTTTCCCTGATAACGATACAGTAAACAGAGGTAAAAAAAAGAAGACATTTTCCATAGCACACACTTATTCGCTTATTACTTGTCCTTGCATAAATGGATCAATAATTTTTTTTGGTATAGTTTCCCTATTGTTTGTCGTTTGCTCCTTTCTTACACGATGAACATATTTAATTCACAAAATATTACTTAAGGAATACACATTAGACAAAAGACATTTGTTAAGATCCGCCCGGTAGAAGATATTCTCTGTCGTTTTTTCCTTACCGAAGGCCTATCAACATTCTTCTTAGTTGCAGGCAAGTCAATAAATGGAACGAAATCACTTTGGAATTTTCGTGTGGACACTAATTACAGTAAATTCCTGATTAACTATTACCCCGTTTTCTTCGAGGTTACGATAAGTTTTCCGTGACTGGTACGATAATACCCTTTTCCAAGTTGACTTATTCAAATTATTTTTGACTTAATTTTCCATTATTTCATGATTTTTTCCATTAAATCAATGAATTCAGAATTATTATATGCTTCAAAAGCACTCTCCAACTCCTCTTAGGCACTTTGCCAGTCTATCTCTCTATCCATGCGCCTGTCCGTATTGCCATAAGATGTCTAATTAAAACTGGTTAAGGAAAAAAGGAAGCCTTACATCTAAGCCGCAAGGTAAGAACCGCCTGATAGCAAAGCTCATCTAAATTAATTAGTAAATCTTAAATAAATTAGTCCGTCATTCTTACTAATCGTACTTCCTTTCCATATGAATCTAAATGAAGCCGAATTAATGGACTGCCAGCAAACCAAACCATAATATGCGTAAATCTAGAAAATGCCTTTAAAATGAATATTATTTCCAAGGAAAACAACAAATTTCTACAATTATTTTAAACTCTGCTCATAGGGTCTTTCCCGTTAATAAGCAACGGTATCCCTTAGTGTATTATCTGCGAGTTTAAATAACGCATAAATTCTTATAACTGTTAATAATTTATTTTTCATCAGTTACTTACTTTTCCTCTGATGCACACATGACTTAGTTTTCATCCAAAAAAAAAAAAAAAGAAAAAGATTAGTAAGAGAATTACATTCGGTTGCAGCCGAATCCTCTATACCCAACAAATCTTTATCATAAAAAATCTCGAAAAAAAATTAAATTGTATTGAGTGGGCGTGGCCGATATTGACAATTTATATACAAGAACTGTAAGATCGCTCACGAAATATATAAATTCTTTTAATTAATGAGTAATGCAGCAATAAACTTTTCTTTTTTTTTTTGTGGAATCAGAAATCTTTTCATTTTACGTTGTGCTGCGGTCGTGGCCTTCGACCAATTTGACCTATGTGTAAGAACTTTCATTGTTTTTGTCAAATTTGAACCACAATTACTTAATTAGCGCGACCAGAACAATGACATTACATAGACGGACAGACGGACGTATTTAAATCGATTCAAAATTGGATATATTGGATAAGAATAGATATTCTGCGCATTGCAAACGTTTTGATAAAACGTTTACATCCCCATTCCTCGTTAGCGGATATTAACAATCCTCACTGTTGCATGCAACGATGACGCTAACAATCAGAGGAGAGAGAACATGAGAAACGCGGTAACTTGGTCTAATGAGTTAACGTCATAACGCTGATGTTGTTGATGATGATGGACATATGTAAAGGAATACACATATGTATGTCAGTATCTCGTATGTTTGTATTGTTCGTTGGTAAATTATTTTTTATATGTTGTTATACACACGTCAGATATTATGATTCTTTCGAACGACAACGCGTTGTATTTTCGGCAACGTTTATGCAAATACGTAATGCTAACTTTCTGCAAAGGATACGATTACGTCCATGATATGTAGGGATATGAATACTCTATTAAATATTAAAATTTTACTCTTAAGTCAGTAAGTAAAATAAAGCAAAACAATAGTCGATAAGTTCGTCCGCAATAAGTTAAACTAATGCTTTTAGGTTTTTTTTTTTTGGAGGTAAGAAGCTTTACTGAGCGGAAACAAGAGCATTAAATATATAAATACCAGCTATTTAGCTTTAGATATACCCGTCCTTATATGAAGGGCATATCTTTAAATTTAATTCTTTTGATGTTAATAACGTGAGGGTTTTAAAGGGTTACTTGATCTTTTTATACATTTTACAACTTTAATTAGCTTATTTTCTAACGTTGGCTCAAGTCCGTTAACGTGCACGTTATATTTGATCAAATGAAAAGCTCGATGGCGTTTTTCCATTAAGATTCAACCACATTTTCAACCCTTCCTCCATAGGACAGACGTATATTCATTCTCTCAAAGCGTTTGCAAAGTCCGCGGATGAAACTTCGGAGAATCTATAATACATATAGGTATGCATATATATACATACACGTATGAAAATTAAATTCTGCATCGATCTAAATGCGTCCGTCCGCACGCCAATGTATCTATCCGTACAATTTCTGCATTAAACTTTTCGTCAATGGCAGAAATTAAGGTATTGGATGTTCAAATTTGGAAAAAACATATATATATATACATATAACCATATAACATTATTTCCTGACAGCAAATACGAGATCTAGAAAATAATGCCATCATCGTTAAGCTGATGAAGCCACAACACTGATAGCTGCATAAGCAAACAAAGTAGATGACAATCAAGTTTTCTTGTACTGAAGTTTAGTTTTAAACGGAAAGTTATCGTCGTTACGCCTTTCGCGTCATTTGCTTTTGATTCACAATTTACTTTTCTTGTAAGACCTTAGCCGCTAATTACCTTCTTTAGTATTAAAACGTACTTAATTGTTTATCTCTATTTATCATTTTAATCTTTCGAAAGTTTCCTTCACCATTCCCTTACCTACATGCAGACATAAGCAACATCCGAAATCAGTTTATCCGTGGTAAAGTATTAGCAGTTATCTATCCTTTCTATTCTTCTCTTTCTAAATATCAAATAAAATTTATTTTGAAATTTATCTCAGCTTGCAGATTACCCTTAATCCATCTCCAAAACTAGATGTATCAACTGAATCGATTTTTTTTGCAACTAATAAGATTATTTTCGAATCCTCATGATACAAACGTTAAACAGCGCGTTGTACCAAACTTATACAATCGTTAGCATAATATGAATCAATCTAAGACATAAGGTAAGAGATGCTCGCAAATCCTTTAATAATGCTGTACAGGCTTAAGTAGTCATGGTTTAACAGTGTGATCACTGGATATCTCTGCATTCGGCTTTAAAAACGAAATTGCAAAGACATTTAGATTAATTAGTGTAATGGAAAATTTATCCGAGAGACCGGAACACAATAAAGAAGTGTTCAAATATATGGGTCAATTAAAACGTGTTGATTAATAAGTAAATGTTGGAAAAAAGACCGGCAACTAGCTTGTTAACGAATTTTGCAGGTGGTTGCGAAATTATTTCAAATGTAATGGGTAATGAAACTGTTTCAAATTTAAAACCGCAAATCGTTACAACAATCGCTAAAGGCTTAATTCCCCCAATGGCAGTAATAGTAGTTATAGTGATGGCTCTCATTCAGATTTTTTTTTTTCAGTATTTATTTTCTTATTTAATAACTTTTCTTTCATATATATTTCTAACAGCATGGTTACTCAGTATCAGGTCTTTGTATTTACAAAGCAGATCAGACACTTTAGATTCATCGGATAGTACGCCATGGCTAAAGCACGTACATAATCTAACAGCGAAACTATTATTTTGAATTACTGTGGTAAGTATGTGTAAAAGTAAAGTCATAATAATATGCAAAAATCTATCTACAAAAACAGATATGTGCAAAAAAAGTAGACTTAACTAATCAAAATAAAACAAAAACACTGTTCAGATAATAATAATAACGATAGTATATATATATATAAAAGGACAAATAAATGAATGAAATAAAAAGTTTCATCGCTTACCTTATATAATCAGGGAGACAACATAATTTCTCATTTCTTTAACTGTTCTTTCCAGATTTTTCATTTACACGACACCTATGCCGAAATACGCTACAAGAATAAAAGAGAAGAAATTCGTCACATCTAAAATGCAAGTTTGAAATTTTCAATTGGGTGTATAATTAGAGAGACAATAAAATATTTTTGGGTTTTTGTTGTTTTAACTCTTCTTTCTAGATACTTCACCTGCAAAAGTGCGCAATTTTTCTTTCCTTTGATTTTTATTTCAAAAGAAATTAGAAGCAAAACTACATAAACTTGTTAGACAACTGCCACCTCTATCACTCTAATGTTAAGCTTACGTGCAAACTTAGCACCACTTGCTATACCTTTTTCTCTTTCTGATACATACAGTATTACAAACGTTTACATTTCTCTAATTTGTGCAAACCGTGAAATTTTATATATTTTTTAGACAGAGTATCACTTTTATTCAACTTTTCCTAATTCTAAATCTCAGGTAATTATTGAATTTATCACATTTATTCGTAAACTTTTAATAGTTGTTAATTAATTTTTCTGAAAATAACTTTTATTAAACGCTACCTACACTTGCTTCCTTACCGAATTACACTATTGAAATGAAAAATTTGATCCATTCTAAAATGCAAGAGAAGTTTAACATTCTCAATTGCGTATATAATTAGGGAGACAATATAATCTCTTGTTTTCTTTTTTCTTTTTGTTTTTTTAACGGTTCTCTCTAGATTCTTTACTGGTGAATTTTCGCAACTTCTTTTCCTTTGATTTTTATTTCAAAAACAAATTGGAAGCAAAACAACCATGACCTTGTTAGAAATCTGCTACCTTAATCACTCTAACGTTAACCTTATGTACAAACTCAGCAACATTTTCTATTCCTTCTAGAATATTATATAAATTATTAGATTTAAATTTTCCTAATTTGTGCGAACCTTGAAAGTTTTTATAATTTTTAGGCAGAGTATCACTTTTTTTTTTAAATTTCCTAATTCTAAATCTCAACTAGTTATAGAATTTATCACATTTATTTGTAAACTTTTTAAATAATTATCATTCCATTTTTTTTGAAAAAACTTTTATAAAACGCCGCCTACGTTTGCTTCCTTACTGTATTACACTATAGAAATGAAAGGAAAAAATTGATCAGCTCTAAAATGCAAGAGAAGTTTAACATTCTCAATTGCGTATATAATTAGGGAGACAATGTAATCTCTTGTTTTTTTTTTTTTTGCTTTTTTAACGGTTCTCTCTAGATTCTTGACTGGCAAAAGTTTGTAACTTTTGCGTTTCCTTTGATTTTTATTTCAAAAGCAATTAGAAGCAAAACTGCTACCTTTATCACTCTAACGTTAAGCTTACGTATAAACTTAGTACACTTTTCTATTCCTTTTTCCCTTTCTTCTAAAATATTACATACCTTTACATTTATCTAATTTGTGCAAACCTTTGAAATTTTATACATTTTTTTAGGCAGAGTATCTCCTTTATTTAAATTTTCCTAATTCTAAATCTCAATGAATTGAATTGAGATTTAGATCACAACATTTAGTCATAAACTTTTGATAATTATTGTTTAATTTTACTAAAACTTTTATTAAACGACACCTACGACTGCTGCCTTGCCGAATTACACTATACAAATGAAAGGAAAAAATTGATCAACTCTAAAATACAGGAGAAGTTTGACAATCTCAATTGTTCTTTAAGGAGATTTTTTCTTCTTTTCTAACACGCAAGAAAGATTTGACATTCACAGTCGCTCTTTTGTTATTTTCTAAATGCAAGAGAAATCTTCAATTCACAAGTGGCCATTTTACCCTTTTCTTTCATATTTCAACAAACAAACGAACTACAAAAATTTTCGTTCTTAAGGTTTAGAAATACGATTTTTTTTTATCAATGACATTTTACTGCATTTTATAAATACTAGAAAAACTTAAAGGTAATTTAAAATTGCCGTAGATTTTTCTGGATTGAATTTTTTGCAGACAGCATCTAAGCGCTTTTAGCAAATGATAACAACGAAGAGAACGAATAACAACGGTGTATATACTCGTTATATTTACTAGTTACCAGTGAAACTTAAGCTAATCACGTAGCTGAAAATTGGCTTTAACCAGTTTTGCAAAATTCCCCTGATTAATGACCCGATGATGATAAATCATTAAGCGAAGTCTTTTCTAGTTTTTAGTAATATTTGACACGAATCCGAAAAGAGTGTTTTTATTGTCGAATTAGAGACATATATATAACGTCTGCATATAAAGAAAAAACAAACTTTGAACTTGGCGGTAAACAATATTGAAAACGAAAATTTTATTTATTTTTTGATATCTCAGAAACGAGAAGACTTAGCATCGTCGCAAAAACACATTTTTACATCCATACAACAAATTGACTTTTTGCTCGTTACCTATAAACAACAACAGATAAAGTTACAAAAATTTGACCGCTATGATCTGTAGCGGATGCGAGTACCTCGAAAAAAATGCAAAAAAAATCGGCCACCCCCATTACACATAGAAGCTAGATGCGAAAGTCTCATAAAGTAAATAAAAATTCCTGGTCCGTTTCGAATTCGCAATGCACCTAAACATGTCTGTTCATTCATCTGTCCAGCTCTCCATCTGAGCTGAGCTGTATAGTATCAGCAGTAAGCATTTTCCCGTTCGCAAAAATGAAGGTATCGGTTACAAATTAGCGAAGGAATTTGAAGATGATAATACGCCCACTAGTCCACATAATAATAAAAACTAAGAACACCTTTTGTTTTCCGTGTATTTTGCTTGTTACTCATAAAGTACACAATATGCAGCAAAGAAATCTTCGCTTTTATTTTGAAAATAGAAAATATCAGCCTCGCTCACCTAACAAGATAGAGTATCAAAATGTAGTTTCTTTTAGATTTTTTAGTCTTTCTTTTTTGGGGTAGGTGTGTATAAAGAATTACGTCACAATCGAAAATAATTTTCTTTCTTGTACAGAATAGGTGCACTAACTGTATTTCTGCGTTTCTCACGCTGAGAAATACTCATCTGAAATCTATAAAGGATATGCATTCTTAATCTGTCCGTCCTTCCATCTCTCAATCTATCTATCAATCGCCTGGTGTTGAAACACTGAAGCACTTGCGTAAACTGATTTCCAATATTTCAGGACGAAATTGACAGAGTAATCAACCTTACCGCATTTGGCCCAAGTCGAACTTCTTTTTCACATCACAGCATAAAAGAATACTTAGTTAACGTAAACCCCTACATGTCAAAAGCCTGATTTGTTAATGTTTTATAATGAAAACTTTTTTCACGATAGTAATTTGATATAACAATCAAGTGAGCCAAATATGAATGGATACCGTTCGATACAAGATTCCCCAAAAGTACTAAGACCTTCAGAAAATAATTTAATTTTTAATATTTTATGATGAAAAGTTGTCCATAATAGCAATTTAACGAAAAAATTAACGATAAAGAGTTTTAACCCCCCGGAGATCTATTGTTTAGACCCCAACATACATCGGGAGTAACAAGCCCTTATACGCAGGTAACATCTAATTTCTAGTCTTTTATAATGGAAGCAAAAATCAGACAAACTTTAGGAAGTATATTAAGATCTAAATATACAGTATGTCAAATGGCGTTTTTGGACATCGGGCGAGATATGCGGGGTTTCATGAGAAGTGTCCTTCGCAAGAAAATAGTGTGTAATTTGCGGTGTGTCATTGCCAAAACGAGTATTAAACGAACTGGTGCTGTGTATCTAATGATCGGTCGTATATATATAATTTTTTTTTGCAATATTATTTTAAAAAATATTATTATTTTTCCTTTCTTTAACTAAAAGATTCATGCGAACAGATTTTTCATTGAATTAAATGAAAATTGGGAATTCGTCGACAACTCATATAGAAATAATGATAATTGTATACTTATAAGTAGTACTTATAAAATATTTTGCTATAAATTGACTTTTAGCAAATTGACGTAAACTTATTTGCCGAGCCTCGTCGATTTAGGAATATTTGTAGAGCAACAATATTCATTCCAATGCCAATTAAAGTTTTAATCTATTACAACAAAAGCAACAAAAATCCACAAATTCGTTGACAATAATATAAAATAATGTCAACATAAAAAGCAAACACACATACACATGCACACAAATTTAAAGGTACTGAATATCACTCCATTGTAATAAACCAAACATTTACTAGACTAACGACATGGACTTAAACCACAATTGAACTTTAATATGGTAAGCATTAAAAACAAACAAAAAAAAAACAAAAATAACAAAAAAAAATTGGTTTCAAATCCCAGTGCAGAGTACCGGTTTTAAGATGGGTCATATAAAAACAGGTATATAAATGTGTACGAACGTTTGTACGTGTAAGTGAATGCATAAAATTATACAACATTAGCAATGATTCGGCGAACCACAATAACCATGACATGCACACATTGTCTGTACACGAATGCAAGCATAATGGCGAACGAAAAACAAATGACCGGCAATTAGGATACTATTGTTATATCCTACCTACCTACCTATCTACCTAACTACCTACCAACTAACATTTTGTTGGCTGCGCCGACCAATAACAATATAAATACATTTATGCACACATAGCCACAGTATAAAGCAGACAAATCTGTTTTTACCACACACAATTGTACAACACTTACACACACACACGCATACACCAATGTATAATTGAGTTTATACTTATACAAGTCAACCAATACTTCTACACAACATACATACATATATATACAATATAGAGTAACATCCAACCTCATTGAATCAGAATAGTGAGAGAGAGGATACGAAGGCGTCCAAGTACATTAAGCAACCAGTTGCACACATTCAAGAAAACACTTGGTTTTTTTCTTTTTTTTTTAATTTTTTGCTGCCACCACATCTATATGATGGTAGGTGATAGTAGTGATATTGTTATGCGTTACACATATGCTCTATATGTATATATAGATACGCATATATATATATATATATATATGTATATGCACAAATAGGCTTTAATTTTTTTCTTAATGTGTGGGCTTATGTAAGAAATGGGGAGAAACGTATTTTATGGCATTGTATTCAACAGTTTTATTGTTATTGCATACGAAATAAAAACAAAAACAAAAGCAAAAAAAAAAAAGAACAAAACGCTTGAAAAAAACGGAATAAAGGGATAACAACAATAACAGTAACAAAAAGAGTTACACTAACTGTAGTCATTGCCGCACAATTAAACGCTAGCAATGTGCCACAATTAACCTGTTACTCAGTCATCCTTCGCTCACTGCTACGCGACTACACATAAAGGTGCTTCGCTGCCTTTGTTAACCTTTTTATACTTATTGGTATACGTGTAGGCACTAATTACGTGGGACGTGCATGGCCTTGCATCAACTTTTAGTCGGAATGAATGTGTAAATAGATGTGAATGCGACTGGAAGAGGATTTTCTAAATTTTAATGCTGGTCATTTTTAAATCTCTTTTCATGCATACACTGCATGCATGCATACAGAATACACATCCATACATGCGCATATATATGTAATACTTAGATGCATATGTG